TACCAAAAACAGAATTAATCGAATAAGAATTCAATTCCCGCTCTGATACCAATTGTTGGACCTGTAAATTCAGCTTTGATATTGATCTATTACTCTGAATGAACTCTAGGACGATTACAGTGCAGCGGAAACAATAATAAGAACAGAACAGAGCCGTCGAGCCTATGGATAAGAAACCCCCAACTACAAAAACCCCAATGAAACCTGAAATTCCAGAAGCTATGAATTCTTCAGATAAAGGAAAAAGAAAACTGAAAATTCTTTAGTCTGCCAAAGATACTTCACAAGGCCCAATCCCTCGATCTAAATTCATTAAGTTTACTCCTGAACAGAAACAGAAGTGGCCTGCTTTTGAAAATTCTAACCTGCACTTTTCTTCTCCTTCAGCTAAAGGGAAGAGTCTCCTCAAGAAAGAAGTAAAACTCACGCCTGCACTTTCAAATAAAAAGTCTGCACTAGATAGGAAGTTTGTAAAAACAACCAATGCTAGGACAAAATCTTTACCTTCTGTTTTTATTTCTTCTCCATCAAAAAAAAAGAAATCAGTTAAACAACCGTGCTCAAACACTCCTAACTGCCAGTATTTGATTCTTTTACAAAACCTGAGGAATCACATGTTAAAGCATCGCTGCATATTTTCGATCGATCGTTCAGAGCGATCGTCTCTTCATGCACAAGTCCCTTCGATACTTGATCTAGCAAAGGGGACACACATCTACTTCCCTTCATCGGACTCTGAATCCGATGAAGAAGAAGTTCATGTCGAAACATCACGAGATAGTTCCTCACTTGAGGGATATCAATGACATGATGGAAGTCATCCCTTGCCTCACTCCACCCAAGGCATCGATGGAGGCGCCTCTGGAACTGAGGCTCAACCTACAGCATCCGTTGCTGTAGTGGTTACCCCACCCCTTGCTGACTTGGTCACAAAGGCTGAGTTCCAAGCCTTTGCTGATTCAATTCAGCGGTCCTTGGATGACCTTAAACTCAACTTGGCAGGGGTTGCTGAATCCATTCCATCAATCGATCTTTCATCGATTCAATAATCACTTGCGTATCTCGAGCTCAATCGAGGGACAACACCACCCGCATCTAGATCTTCCAACAACTTATGGTCCAACAAAACAACCATCTCACCAATATCTCCACCACAATAAACAAGTCTGTCCAGCCAGCCTTGGAGCCCTCTCGGCCAAGATAACTACGACCGATGAATCCATTGCCTCCCTCACCACCCAAGTCACTTCCCTCACCAATTCCATCGCCACCTTACCCTCCACCATACTATCCAATATACCACAAACAGCCCCCCCTCTACCCCCCTCTACAGCTCCCTCAACACTTTTGCTGCAGAGGTACGCTCAATGATATCCTCAATCACCATCCCTCCACCCGCCTCAACCTCCAACTCCACCCCTGCAGATGTGGTCACGAGAGCCGATCTGTGTGTTCTATCAAAGGCCTTAATCTCAAGTTTTAATGAGATAAGTGCCAAATTTGCGTCCAGAGCCGTCGAGCCTACCAATGCACTAAGAAAAAGCCTCATCCAACAACAAGATCGCACCAACTCTCTCCTCCTCACGACAGAGAAAAGGCGAAGGAGAGAGGCGGTGCACGATTTCGTCAAGAAAATGAGGCTGAAGAAGAAGAGAAGCAGAGCCTCTTGCTCCACAAGCCGCCCTTAAGAGGCCGAGGCATGAAGACCCAGACCAAGATGATCATGGTCTTGGTCCTCATGAGGGGGAGAACCCGGCCACCACACCAATGGAAACTGCTGCACCATCATTACCACCACCACAAAATCAACCAACCCAACAAACTCAAGGAACCCAGGCGAGGGAACCAGAGGCTCAACCATCTGAAGATGTACAAAATGTACATGTTTCCTCTGCCTGCACACCCAAAACCCTCTACCCGCAACCAATGAGTTCTCACCAATTTTGGTGAGTTCTTCATCCTCCGACAACCCACCATCTCCTCAACCAGAAACAACCTTATCATTTACCCCCATCACCAACACCCCCTCCATCACCTCCTCAACCAGAACCTTCCATTATCAAAACTACTCAACCAGAAACCTCCATCACCCAAACAACTCAACCAGAGCCTATGCAACTAAAGCCTACCCAACCAGAGCCTATCCAAAAAGAAACAACTCAACCAGAAGCAATACCTCAACCAGAACCCTCTACCACACTACCAGAACCCATCACCCAAACACAACCACCTACCACCCAACCTACCCTTACCCAAACACAACCACAGCCATCCATCACCTAACCAACCCAGAAGGTGCAAGCAGACATTCCCTCTTCATTAAGGCAAGCTCCAACACAAGGCAGAGTCAAAGAAATTCTCTCTAATTTGGAATCGTTAAGGAGACGTCCACCAGTGCCTCGAATGGAACTCTTCATGATAGAGAATATCCATCAATACCTCTACCATGATCGCGATGAACAACTGGTCCTCAATCCTCCCAACTTATCTCCTGAGTCGATGGACCTGCTACGTCACATATTCGTGAGGCAGACGACCTCTCCACCACAAGCCGTCTTCTCAAACAATGGAATCAAGACTGTCCTCGACATCAAGATGATTACACCATGGAGCACACACATGGGATGATCAACGTCTTCAATGACAATGATATAATAAATCTCAATCCATGGGACTTGATCGATCTATATGGCTATACAGCTCAGCGACAGGACCAAGGGATAAGGTACGTGATGGCCAACAGAGCGATTATAGAGACGATGGGGACCTTGGTAAAGTTCAGAGCTAAGAATGACTTTCAAATAGCTCTTAAACTAGGTATTGAAAGACTCTTCTGCACACCTCTAGATGAAGATATCCAAGGCTTACAAGAGAAGTGCTCTGCATCGGTTCTAGCTCAACCAGAACTCGGCTTGGTATTCAAGAACGAGTATCCGAGTATGGGGTTAAAAAGTTCTTCAGACTAACTGACACCTTCAAGTATTCAACCGATACACTTGAATGGTTTCAGAAAGTCATTCGAGGAAGACTCGGCAGATCGCATGTGCTGATGAAGGAAGAACAAGAACTAATCCATGGTATCTCCACAGTCCGTTTCAAAGGACTAATGATGCGTTTTTGGAAGATCTATAATGGAGACCATGAGTGATTTATTTTATTTCCATCCTGTAATTTCAATTTTCTTGTAAGAAATCATCCAACTTTTAGTCCAATGAATATATTTGACAAAAGGATATATGCTTTTCATAATTCCTTCATTTGTTTATAGATTAGTCATTGTTTGTTTTTTCATTATTTAGGGGGAGATTTTTAGACCCCATCATTCTTATTTGTAAAAGTAATGAAAAACATACAAGTGTGAAAGAGCAGAAGGTTGATGGAAGAATAACATCAAGAAATCATAAGTGCTCAATACAACCAGAGATGCAATGAAGGTTCATAGGTGCGATGAACGGCGCATCTCCATAAACCCTCTGGTTCTCAACACTTGGAGATTTCAACAGCAGTTCAACCAGAGGTATTCCTTCAAGAAGACCCAAAGACTCATGGTTGAACACGCCTCATAGAAGACAGCTGGAGATGGCAAATCGACAACTGGATTCTCATTGCCTTAATTAGTTTAATTTCGTTTCCTTATTTCTATATTGCTTTCTTTCCTTAAGAGATTTGCAATATATCTTCCATAGATAGCAATCTCCATATTTAGAATACTAGTATAAATAGTCATTATATTTCTTGTAATCGTTTACGCTTTTCATCATTCAATAATAGTGAATCATTTGACACTCCAATATTTTCTTGAATATTCTTGAGTTGTTCATCACTATTTTCATCCACACGATATATTTAGGTTATTCATAACTTGAATACTCGTGTTATTGAGAGATCTGTGATCAATAGATCACTTCTTTATTTCTCAAATATTTGATGACTCTCATTGAACCTCTCCATACATATACATATACATATACATATACATATACATATACATATACATATACATATACATATACATATACATATACATATACATATATACACACACACATATGTATATATATACATATATTGACGAAGGATCATGTGAGAATAAGAGTTGAGTTGAAAAGTGTAATGAAGGATTTGCACCCTTGATCACTTTTAGTCTCACCCTCATCTCATGAACTGCGCTTATCACGAGAATTGATTCGAACATTTCGATGCACCACATTAGTGTTGATCTTCAATTATGATTGATCCAAGGGTGAAGATCTATTCTTACTCTTCTCACCATAACGTTCATTTTCACATAAACCCAACCCTAATTATATAGGCTCAAGTTCAGGAGAAAACGTTAAATAAATGGAAAACTAGAAAACTATGAAAAACGGGTAAAATTATATGAATATGGATGTCAAATTAACGAGAAAAATATGATTATTTTTTGGTGTAATTTATTTCGTTCGAATTTTGATCATATTTCCTAATTTTTTATTTAAAAATAAAGTTGTAATATCCTCTTTAATCGTATCCATTGGATCAATTGATCTAGCGATTGATGGAGTATTTTTCTGTTTTTCATTTTTTAAGATTTTCCCATAACCTCCCTGTATACTACCAAGGTGCATGAAACGTACTACCACGACAAATCGCTCCAAGATTTTCTTCGGCATATGAAACAAGCGGTGAAACCTCAACATCTGCTTGAAAAACAAATAGATTACTATAACATAAGAGATAAAGCCAATTGAAAGCCAGATTCTGAAAGGTTTATTACCAGTTGAATATAAAAGGCACTTAATGTGTTAAGAAGCCGCTTGCTACAACCACTCGACTTGTATGTAGACTCAGAACCATAAGTCAAGCATTGTTTTGAGTGTCCAAGTTGGACCATTCACATTTTTTACAGGGGAAAATTCTTCTTCAAGCAATACCTATGTAAGAAACAAACAGGGAAAAGTGACACTTTTTCTTCCATTTTGCTAAAACACAATTTGATGAGAATAAGGGGATGATCTCAAAAAGTGTTGTTGAAGGTGCATATGGAAATGCATCAAATATGAATTGTTCTAGCTTGTATCTAACACTTTTCCCATGGATTGAGAGGAAGTTGTATACTTCATTTTTGCCGATTCTTACTTATAACCTACTAAATTCAACAATATAATTTACTTCAATCCCCACAAACCAGAAAAGGTTACATGAATACTTATCTCATATGGTGGAAACCCAAAAATCAATTGGAAGAAAAACCTGAATAGGAACGGGAATCACCATATTGCAACTGAAAAACGAATAGCAAATAGCAAAGATATAAATTGGTGGTGCTCAATTGCAACTATAAAACCTAAAACAAATAGCAAATAGATTAATACTGTTGAGACCCATTGTCATCCAAAAAACATCTCACTGGATACCAATTTGGCCCAGTGCACCATTCTTTCGGCAAGGCCTTCTACAATGGTCGTTGGAATTGGGAACATTGATTGAGGTTAGAATTGTGTATAGGCTTTAATGTTACTTGGATCAGAAAAATGTTACTCAGATTCGGATTTTAAAGCCGGAGTTGTTTTCTAGAGTGCCAAAAATGGTATAGATATTGAGAGCACCAGGGTAGATCACCTCCCTACATAATTCACCAGTTCCAACAAACTGGATAATCACCTATCAAAATGTATGTTGGTTGACTGTCAAATATATTAAGGTTACTTATGAATGTATGTTCAGTAAGGTTAAATACGAATGCATGTGCAGTAAGGTTTGTGCAGAATAAGAAAGCAGCAAGGCTTGTGCAGATTATGAATATTAAATATGGTTTGTACCTGAATCGATCAAACAGAAAACAGGTACCTGAATCGAGAGTATGAATCAAATCCAAAAAGAAATCGATCATACAGATGAACCCCAAAGGGCAACTAAAAGAAATAGATGAACAAAAAGTAAACATCTACCTGAATCAAGAGAGACTGAATCGATAAACAGAGTATGAATCAATAAAAAAGTAAACATCTACCTGAAAGAAATCGATAAACAAAGTATGAATCGATTAAAAAGTAATCATCTACCTGAAAGAAATCGGTAAACATAGTATGAATCGATTAAAAAGGAACATCTACCTGAAAGATATCGATAAACAGAGAGTATGAATCGATCAAGATGCAATCAATCATCTTTTCATAGATAAAGGTTAAAAATTTATCTTTTAACGCTTAAATCAAACAAACTATGGAGAAACCCTACATCAAAACAATGAAATACATCCTTGTTGTTGAGTTGTATGAAAGATAATAAATTTATGTATATTACATTGTGGAGAAATACAAAACCTCGTTATGAGACAGTAGCTTTTATATTGCAGGTATCTTCATTGTTACATGTAAATCCAAAAATATTAGCTTCAAAAAAGGATACATCTTCAAAGATGATTTTCTAGCTTTTGAAATCCACCATTAGTTACAACTTATTATGAATACATCTAACAACATTCAACTAATCATGCCACACACTCGCGTAAGTAAAGAACCATAATACAGTTAGTAAAAGAAATGAAGGCCAAGGCAAATTCGTGTAAATGTTTATGATATGTAAATCTTATCTATTTCAAAAAACTGAATACATTAAGTCTTGTGCCTGAAATAAAAACAAAGAGATTGTGAAGCCACAAGATATCATTCCGGAAAGAAAATGAGTTAAAAACGATCGACATGAAGTTAATGGTTTTGGAACATATACACCATTGACTGCTCTAAATTTCGAGTAAGCGACATCTTGAAATTTTAGTACGACAACTTATTCTCTTTTATCACCTCCAACCGGCCAATAGGGATTTGATTCTGTATTGTCGCACCTAAGGGTTTAGTTGATATCTTGAAATTTGGTCATAATACGATGAGGAGAAGCCGTTTTGACCATAGTGATATAATTGCTTTTAGTTCTGTGGTTAGGTCTACATAATGTTTATGTAAAAGATAACATGAAATAGTTAAATTCATTTTCTGTCAACCAGAAAAGTGCAGAGCCAGAACTCACTTGTTTAGGATTTTGTTATCTATTAATCACCATATTTAGGTGCATGCTTATCCACTTTAGCTAAAAATCAATATATGAGATTAACGGTGTTTTGACAATCCACATTCGAACTATTTTACAGCTTAAACAAATATAATGTTGTTTATGTTGATACCATCTTCTATGATAGTTCGGATTTTTAAGCCTTCCAGAAAAAGGAAATTTATGTTATGTCAAGTAAGGGAAAGTTCGATCACTGACCTCTTAGTTGGTTGTTTGGATACTGTAGGCAGAGACAGATAGGGAAGCAGGGGGAAACAATGGTGTCTCTGACAAGCAAATTCGTTTAAAGATTTTTTCACCTAATGTACTTGACATCACCCTGGTGGATTTACCGGGTATAACAAAAGTTCCTGTTGGTGACCAGCCATCTGACATCGAAGCTCGTATTAGGACAATGATAATGTCATACATTAAGCTTCCCAGCTGTTTGATACTGGCCGTTACACCAGAAAATGATGACCTTGCCAACTTAGATGCACTTCAGATCGCTGGAAATGCAGATCCTGATGGTAGGCATTGATGCCATTTATCAGTGAGTTTAGTAGAGTGATTTCTTGTTGATTTAGTACATCTCTTTAACATGGCTTCTTCCTTTTTTGTGCTGTCAGGTTACCGAACTATTGGTGTGATTACAAAGGTATAATGTGCTGTTAAGAAAATACATACACCTTCCTTTTTGGTTCTTCTAGATAACATTATATGTAGAAACACTAAATATGATAAAGCATGGTTTAGAAACACACTTGAATACCACAATAAGTTCTATTTAAAAGTAAATCCATTCCAACAAGAAAGTAATATGCATAACTAAATATGGATGATTTTAAAACTTAATTGCTACATATACCAAATAGTAATCTAACATATTTTTTATCAATTATAGTTTGTAGTTTCAATTGCTATTAATAATCAATTTTGTGCTAAAGGTAAATACCAATTACCTAGTTCTGGGACCTTGAATCCCTTCCCCTTTTTTCCAATTTAGACAAGGAAAATCCCCCTTATCCAAGTCGATTGCAAACTCGTCTGTGTTCCTGCAAACTCCTGTTACTAAGAGATCAATAGAGACAAAAAAAAATCCCCTTCTCTTCGATCCAACACTGGACGGTATACCAAAATCAAAAGAAAATCCAATAAGGCAAAATGCAGCAAAACCAACAACAATAAATTAAAAACAAAGTATAAAAACAATAATTATCGAGAAAAAGAACAAAAACAAGTAATAAGGAAAAAAAAAACCAACCTGAACTACCAGAAAACGAACACCATTCGTCGACTTGGATAAGCAACAGTAAGAAGCAACCGAAACTACCACTGTTGATTTCAATAAGTGAGTAAGAAGTAAACGATTTGAAGAAGATATTTCGTTCAAGATGTGAAGACTCACCATCGAATTCGTTGCCATTGTTCCGAGTTTTCAGTTGACGCTGAGAGATGTTGAGATTGGAATCAGTACCACTTTCGATTTCAATAAGTAAAAGTAAGAAGTAACAATCTGAAGAAGCAACATATATAAAGATTTTGTTGAAGGTAACAATATGAAGAAGCAACATATATGAAGACTCACCGTCTCTTTTCGCCAGGGATAGAGAGAAGTAAGGGATTTGAAGACTCACTGTCCCTTCGAAAAGGGCCCCAACCTAATGAGAGAAGGGATGGAATCGAATCAGGAGAAGAAAGCAAAAATAAAATAGAAGAGAATCCTAACCGATGTTGAATCATCATATGGGGAGCTTGAACGGCCATCTTGGGAAGATGAATTCAGGGAGAACTTAGAGCCGGCGCCTGAATTCATGATAGGGTGAACGTAGAGAAGTAAGAAAATATTTGGCATTGGAAATCCAAACCCTAATTTCAGCATTAACAACTTGTACATCAACCTTCCTTCAAGTCTTTTAAAATTCTATGCATAGAAAGTTGTACATTTTTAAGACTTTAAGACTTTCTGCATTAAAAGATAGTACCTTATGCATTTTACATTGTTTTTAAGACTTTTTTCCAAATTTGCTTTATAATGTAATATATATATATATATATATATATATATATATATATATGAAGTTGAGAAAGAGGTTATTTATATGTTTCCAATCAAAAAATTTATTCTTTTTAAACCTTAAATATTTAAATTGAGTTTTATGTCACGCAACTTTTATGAGGCTGGGAAATTAAGACTAATAAGCTTATTGACACTTTCTAAACTTTAGAGGTGTTAAATTTGTATATGACAAACCAATCAATTATTATATTAACCATACAGAGTTCAATTGGCACCAATTCAATTGGTTGATACTATTGTACCAGCTTCATAAACTTAGTTGATACGTGGTATTGAAAATCATATGCCACGATAATATCGTACCGACTTATATATCTATATATATATATATATATATATATTATTTATTAAATAAAAAATCAATTAAATGAATTGTATTTAATTATTAATGCATATGATTGTTTTTTAAAAGGAGCTAATCATTTATTAATTTAACATATTTACTGTTTACTTTAACTTTAGTATATTACTTACTCGGTTGTTGTTACTCACTTATTAATTAGGACTGAACGCCTCTCATAGCAACCCTAAGTAATTCACTCATTATTCAACTTTTGAGATATTAGTACAAAATTGTACCAACATGAACCAACCGAAAAAAAAATTGATACCAATTAAAACCTATTTTTTAAATTAAATAAAATTTGATTTTGTATTTTTGAAACATATTATTTAGATTATGTTTGCTACATACTATATAATCTATTTTTTTTATAATTTTTTAATAAAATATTATGGACGTTAAAATATATCTCCAAACCTAACATTAAAAAAATAACAGTAAGACATTGTTTTATAAACATAAGCTAGTTTATAAGAGCATTTTTAACAAATTTCTGTAAATTTTTCTAAAATAGAGAATTAGAAGTAAAAAAAAATTACATTCATCTTCAAAAATTTCTCTATTTTATAGGATCCAACATTGATGATAATATTTAAATATTTCATTCATCTATTTAAATATTATTTATCTATCTAAATATTTATTTTCAAAGTTTCCTATTGGTAATCATTTTTGAGGTAATCTCCATATTTGGAGAAAAAACATTTCTCTCTCCTACTTTTTTTTTATTTTGGAGATAGTTTTGAGAAAACTGTTGGAGCAAAATATAAGCTCAAAATCCTTATTTTCAGTATTGTGGAGAAGCTGGTGGAGATGTTCTAAGCTAACTTATATTTTGAGTAACTGTTTGGATGTATATAAGGTAGCTTATTGATAAGCTACTTAGAGTAGTTTATGTGGAGCTTTTTGACATTTTTTTCGATTATAACCCTTATTAAATATTAATTATTATTAATAATTATAAATAAATATTAACTATTAACTATAAATAAATATTAATTAAAGAATAGTTTATAGTAACTAAAATT